GATCCCGGGGCGGGGAGCGGCGGGAGCGATCGGGGCTGCGCGGGGCCGCTCCTGCGGCAGCTCCGGGGCCGCTCCCGCCCTCACGGCCTTCCCGCGAGCAACGGCGCCCCCTGCCGGCCGCGCGCGCGCACCGCACCCGCCGCCCGCGCCGCGCTCCCCCACACGCGCCTCTCACGCGCGGTGCCTTTCCTGACGCCGTTCTTTTGGTTCTTGTTAAAAGCAACCCAAACCAAAAAAAAAGCCGTTTTCTCACAGCAGTGCGTTTTCCATCATAAACAAACAAACAAAAAAGAGGTTTTTACTTCTGTGTGTTTTCAAAAATCACCTTTTTTTTTTTTTTTTTTTTTTTTTTTCCCCTAGCCTGACATTATTTTCGGTGGTGATGAAAGAGTCGATGACTTTAGAAGTTTAATTTTTCCAAGATGTTTGTCTCTCTTACCCAAATACTTAGAACTGACTGTGCTCAAATACTGAACTTGTTCAGAACGTATTAATTTGACACTTTTTCTATTTCACTTTCATCACCTGGGAGACTAATGAGGTGTGGAGAAAATTGGACAAGTCTGATTCGTACTTTAGAAGAAGCTGTTCTTGACTTAGATGAAACTTTACTAACATTCACTTTTATTATTTGGGAAATGTTTGGGGTCAAGTTTTGAAGTTTTTATCTTAATTTGCATGTTAATTGGTTAAGGACACGGAATTTGGCCTAACACTCATAGGGGCTTATAAAGAACAACAAAAGACACTGAAACATAGAAGCATATGATGCAAAAGTGATGCAAAATAAATGTGATTTTTTCAAGTTTTTTGTGAATGGAAGTTTGTTGTTTGAAGCAAACTTTCCATTATTCTTGAAGAGGCTTCAAGTAAGCAGCTTTCTGAATACAAATGTTATTTTAGGGCTATTGCTGTAGCTGTAATCATGCATTTGAAAATAACACCTGGAAAGTTATCAGTTGTTTTAATATCATTGTACTACTAAAATATTTAATTCCTCAGTGTCATGCTTGGGTTCTCAGAGGTGTTGAACTGAATGCACTGGCAAACATTAGTTCTCAAACTGAATGACCTGTGTGATGTACAGGAGTTTATTAATAATGCAAAATAAAACCCTTGGCCTAATTTGAGGATAACATTACAGGTGATTTTACTGTGAGACAGAGAGGTATTGGTGACAGAGAGCTTGATGCTGCTCCTTTTCAAGATACCAGGAAACCTGAGTAATTTCACCGCCTGAAACATTACTTCTGGGAAATTTCAAAGTGGCTAAAAGGGGGTTCCAAACTTTGTATCACTGAACTTATTATATAGTGTTCTACCTCCAGGAGCTTTAAGTGCAGAGGAAGAAAAGTACATTGTATTTTAAACCATTTGCTTTTCATTATGAGAACTGTGGGTAGGAGAAACAGGGACATGGAGTTATTTCTTAGACAGCCATGAGCAGTGAGGGAACATGAGGGTTCCTTGCTGGGACTGTGATCTACCACGTCAGTGTTATATCTTCCCATTCCTTCAGAACTGGAATGTTCTTGTGAAAAAATTGTAGAAAATCCTGTGAATCTTTTCTTTTTTTCTTTGAATGGTTTCTAGACATTTGGTCACCAATTAAAGGTGATAGCATATCAGAATACTGTGGTCTGACACTTACAGCCTACCTAAATAAAGCAGTATTATTTTTAGTATTCTGTAGTCAGTTTATTGTGTTTTTATAATGAAATGTTTGACCTTTCTGATAAAAAGTCTTTTCAGCCTATCTGCAGAAGTCAGAAGAGGGACTGTATAGACAATTTTGTCCTACTAATTTGCCTAAAGGATTTAAGCTCTGGGCTTATTTTACTCTAAGAAGCCACCTATTTCTTAAACCCAGGCAATCATGTTGCATAATATTTTTCACTTACAGTTTCAAAAGAGATTCCAAACCAAGATTATAATTGATTAATTGCAACATGTAACACTTGATTTTACAATGGCCTGTGTAACATAGCAAGTCCTAATATATCCTGAATATAACCTGAAATGAATGAGGAGAGAGACATACAAGGAAACAACAAAATACTTAGTATGCAAGGCCTTGGCTTTCTTGCTTGCAAATTCACCAGAATCTGAAGTAGAAGCCAGGAAGAATAACATGGAATGCTAGCTGATGCAAAGCCTTCTGAGAAAACAAGAGACACAGAAAGAATCTTTTGGATTTCTGGACCTATTTTTTTCCTAAGCGTGGCCTTGCTGTAGCTTTGTTTGTAGTCATGGCAAACACTACTGACTTTAGATAAAGGCAGATCATTGCCTGGACTCATGTATTAACATTAATGGGATCAAACTTCTGCCTTGGGAGAAAGGGTAAATAATCATGGCTATTCAGTTTGAGATAATTTCTATTAATTTTAATGTTAATTTATTTCAAAATTGCATTTCTTCCTCAGTCTTGATGTATTGCATCTACCATATAAACTTGTGCCAACCTGCAGGTAGAATGTTTATGTCACTCCAGTGTCATGAGGTAAACCATGAAGTTTTCACTTTTTTGAACAGGATAATTTAGAATTGCTCTTATAGAAAGTGAAAGTATGTTAAGGGTGTTCAAGAATATTATTGCTGACTTGGAATTCTTAAAGAGGTGATAAGTACTTGCATCATGAAGAACTCAGAGTGTATTAGTCTTTGCAGGTGCCTTATAAATTATTTCTTTTATGTAACAGAGCTGAAACTGTAAGCTGTTTACCTTGGATAGTCAGAAAGTTGAACTAGCATTTATCTGAGTTAACAGAAATTGTTTCAAAGTACTGGTACTTGTGAACATAATTTGTTCCAGCTCTGGGGAGTACACTGAATGCACATGAGAAAAGTGAGAACTTCAAGTGTATGTGGTTATCAACAAATATCATGACTATTTGGACTAATTCATTTGTATTCTGCAAAGAAAAAATATACAGCAGGTATTTTATGCAATACAGTAATGACTGTGGCTAATTCCACTCACCACCAGGTCCTGCAATATTGTTGAGTGTATCCTTTATTCTAGTTATACTATAGATTTTCTGAGGGTTTCTCTTATTCAGGTAACAATGGAGAACAAAGATGGGGATCTCTGAAGGCTACTTAAATGGTTTTCCTGGGCTAATGAATTTGGTATTATGTAAGATTATCTGTGTTGCAGTGAGTCTCATATAATGTTCACATTTCCACATTTTCCTCTCAGTTAATTTTTGGAATTGACCCCTTGAAAATGTAGCAATGTTCTCCATTCTAATTTTCTCCCTTTTCCTCCCAACTATTCCCTCATAAATTCTTTTCAAAAATTGGTACAGGTTCATTAAGAAGTACAGAAGTAAATTTTCTTCCCTAGACACCCCTGAAGATTCTGCATAACAAGTTATGCATTTGATCTATCTAGATAAGATACGGGGATTTCTATGGATGATATTGGTCATGCGTTAGTTTTCAATGTCTTGGCTTATTCCCTATTAAATAGGTCAACATTTCCTTCCTTTTTTTTTTTCCCCCCCCTTGTTCTGTGGCTATTCTGGGATTCTAGTACAGAATGTCTTGAAAAGAGAGAAATATTCCATAGCTACAGATTTTACTGAGGAAATATACACTTTCTGAGGTAATGGGTTGTATATGTGTCCTAGGGTGACTTTATGATCTGGTATCACTATCATCTGGCTTTTTTGTCTAGCTATAAGTATAATTAAATATAACTATTTAAACTATTTAAATCTAATGATATATTTAATATAACTATATAAACTATTTAAATATAAAACTATTAAACAGAACTATTTTAACACACTGTGGGTTACTGGGGTCTGATGAGAGGAATCTGAACTGTTTATTTAATTCCAGGTATTTGCTATCTTAGTGTGCAGGTTTTGGCACATGGAGTCAGCAGTGTGTGTGGAGTTAAGAGACGATGGATTGGTTTGTCTTAGTGGGAGCCATTACCGTTGATTGAGAGCATAATCTTTCCATCAAGTGGGAGCTGAAGAAACAAAGGAGCTGTTACCATCTATCAGGGAAATGTTTATTTCTTGGTGTGTGCCAAGTTTTACATAGCAGAGCCTAATAGCTTCGAAGGTCTAAAAAGAAAAGTTTGTGTTTTTTTTAATATTATATTTCACCTCTGTATTTGAGTTGCGTCAAAGTTGCACAAAACAATAATTATAATAGGCATAGATCAGAATATTCTCAGAAATGTGCAGGCACAGCTGTAATTTGCTGGTAGACCTCTGATTCTGAGTTGCTCTTGATAATGGAAGCCCACTAGTGTTTACTTAAAATCTCTCCTTTTTCTTGAGCTGTTTTCAGTAGGGGACATTAAACAAGCTTGGGGTTTAGATTATGAATAGGTTTAGATAATGAAAACAACAGGAGCTGTGCTGCTGCCTCTCAAGTAGCAGCAATTATCTTTATGTGTGTAAAGGGAAGAGATGGCTTGTGATATAAAAAGAAATGGGCATAAAGTGGTAAGGAAATAGGGTGGAGCTGTTCCGAACCCCAAAACTTCATGGAAAAGTTTCTCCTGATAGAGAAAAATGAAAACAGGAAAAATTGTCCTACATACACTGGTATGGAAAGAGGTAATGAAAACGGTTTGTCACCAATATCTTTTGTTAATCTTTTCTAGTTGTTTATATTGCTGCACATATTCTATAGAGACAAAAAGGAGAGAACAAGGCTGAAAATTAATTGAAAATTAAATATTGGAATATTGAGAAGGTGCTGCTTCCCTAAATACTTCTGCTGCTGAAGACGGTTTTATTAGTTTCTCTGTGTCATAAATGTGTATGTTTCATTCACCTAAAACTG